CTGAAGAAGGCCGGAGCGTACAATATACGTACGTATGTGACAAATATGGCGACAAAGATGAGGACAATAGTCCGACTAATGTAAATACTGAGAAGCATTGAGATGTAAATTATTGCTGTAATGGAGGTTTGTGTAATTCTTCAATATTTGTTTACCAATTCGCAATCTCCTTTCTTTGGGAAGAAGTAGCTTTCTCTTTACTTCTACGTCATTTAAGTCAACCGTCTAACTTATTGTATTATTGTGTAGAACATTTCTTTAATTTTCGTTTAATATTGTTATGTGGGCTATTCTTTTAATATTAACTTAATATTTATTAACTTAACATGTAAAGCTCGAACACGTTAGCATCGTCTGACGCTGAAAGTGTGGAAGTCCTGAATATTTTTGTTCGTTTCTTTATTTCTTAATACTTAAATATTTAGATATAAATTTTTCTTCAAATTTAAGCCTACACGAGAGCTATATATGAACTTTATTCTCGCTACGTGTATTGCCATATACCGGATTTTATGACCGGAAGTAATTTATATCTCTGGTCCAAACAAAGAAAGTGTTTGAATCACTAACCAAACACTGAATTTCTTTTACAAAAATATGCAAAATGCAATGAAGCACATTTTAATCAGCTTAATGTCTGTCCATGTGAAACGTCGACGGATAGAAACCGGGATATAATATTAAAATTACGTCAAATTTTGGAAAAATTTCGCTGCGAATTATATACGGGCTTTTTCTAATAAAGTTCAATAGAGGTGCGTATTATACACGAATATATATATTATTCGCAAGTAATTATGGTATTATTGGTGTTAGTGACATGCTCACAGCAAATATATCAGATGGAATGATAGTAAATCCGAAAAAACAAAATACTCTGTAACACTGGTGTCGACTAGACTGACGTTAAAGTCTCATCATTTTACAGTTGAAATGGCTCGATGTAACCGCAGGTTCTATGCTAACAGTTTCTTCTATCGCATTCCGTGCCTTCCAGTCTAATCCCGTAGATAAAATAAAGTTCAGGATTACCCGTATATTACCCAGATTAATATACACCCGAGGAAGGTTGAAGGCCAAAACGGCCGAAAAACTGTGATAAAAACAACAAATATGAGGACAATAATCCGAATACAAATAGCGTTAACAATGATAACATCTCAACCTAAAACCTGTTAAAACTAGTTTCCCGACAATTTCACATTTAGTATTTTGAGAATGGTTTATGTGTTTCCACTTATTACAAATATGACTTTAAAATTGTTTCTTCCGCTCTCGAGCGAAGTCCTGTTATTTTCTTATTTGTTTGTTGGACGAAACCCTGTTATGTTTCCATATCTAGCGCTTCATTTGTTCTTCACTACATTTTCTGGTGAAATAGCAATATCTACAAATTGCCAGATTCTTTCTCCTTGTTCCCTATTGACCGAATAGACCATCTAGATCAAAATATCCCAGAGTATCTTATCTTTATTCTGTAGCGATTACTAAGTTTTATATTTGTAACAATTGTTTACAGGTGTTAACCGACAATGTTTGAACAATTGTGAATTTAAAGTATGTCTATTCCTACACATTTGTGTACACTATCAAAATAACTAAAAATGTAATGTTTTCGAATTGGGTAATTCAAGAAAGACGGTGTTAATGTCATCTCAGAAGGGAACAAATATTTTGGTCAACATAGAGATCATTGCATATTAAAACTGCTGTTCAGTCCCTGATATATTTGAGATGCTATCCAAATATTTGAGGACGATTACCATCTATCATCAACCAGAGTCTGCCTGTTTATAGATTCCGTAGATTCTGTTTAACCTGGATGTTTGGGTCAATTTCTTGCACATTGCTATTTTGATAGATTTAAATTTCAAATTATGAATAAAAACCATACTTTATTCCCAGGACACTCATAAATTTATTTTCGTCGTTTTTTATTTTTTTTATTTTTTTATTTTATTTTATTTTTTTTTTTGTCAGTGTGAAACTTTTTCATTAGATGTTGAAGATATTTAATCGTCCTTACGCGACAAATTTTAACGTGGGAAACACTGAACTTTTGGATGTGTATTTCTGTAAAAGCTGTTCAGTACTTTGGCGATAAAGTTTCGAAGGAATTAGCCATCGAGACAAGGTCGTTAGAGGAACACCACGACTGTTAGAAATTGTTCACAGATTTGATTACATTCTGAGTCCTATATAAATATGGAGTACTGTCTAAAATTTCATGAGAAGAATCTGCAATATCATTGGTCCTGACATGGCATCTCGGCTTCAGTCATTTTCCCACCGCCGTAATCAAGCTTCCTTGTGCATTTTCCATAAATTATTTCATGGTAATTCTTCTGATGAACTTTCCTCTATGGTACATAGTCCCTATGAATTTAAGCGCAGTACTTGATTGGCGGAAAGGTCTCATCATTTTACAATTGAAATGGCTAGATGCAACTGTAAGTTCTATGCTAACAGTTTCTTCTATCGCATTTCGTGCTTTTTAGTCTAATCCCGTAGATAATATAAAGGGCTCAGTTCAGGATTACCCGTATATTACCCAGATCAATAAACACCTGAGGAAGGTTGAAGGACACAACGGTAAACGCCTGTGATAGAAACAACAAAGATGAGGATAATAATCCGAATATAAATAGTGTAAACAATGATAACATCTCAACCTAGAAATTCAGACAGAAATCAGCAAGACAGTAGTCAGTGAAAAAGGGTATGAGAATTAGTTAAGAGAATGGATGTAAGACAAGGATGTATCTTCTCACCGGACTTATTCCACTTATAGAGCGAGGCGGTTTTGAGAAAACTAGAAGTCCTATCAGGATTTATTAACAACATAAGATATGCAGATGACACAGTATTGGTAAGAGGCACCGAAAGAAAGATACAAAAACACCTACATAACGCAGTGAAGGAAAGCGAGAAGAAAAGATTAAACATCAACTTCAAGATGCATGTTTGTTAGCCAAAGGATGGGCCCAAAGTGCGAATTGCAAATCGGAGATACAAGCATCAAACAAGTGCATAAATTTAAATATCAATGAAGTGTTTTAACAGAGAAAGGAAAGTGTGATACTATAATCCGAAGGCGCAATGGGTTAACCAGGGAAGTATTCAAAAAGCTAAGCAGAGTACTAAGAAATAGGAAAAAATCGCAAGAAACAAGGAAAAGAGTAATGAATTGCTATGTAATATATATCCTTCTGTATGGCAATGAGTGCTGGACAATCCTTTCAAAAGATGAAGAGAAGACTTTAAGCAATAGAAAAGTCATTCTATAGAAAGATGTTGGTGATACCATGGACCGATGACGTGAATAAGTTATGTGCCATGCATAATACACGCTTAGGCGATCATGTATCTTACAATACATGACTGATGAAGCAGTAGGTTGCCATTTCTTTCTGCGGTAGACTAGTTGCCATCCAAGGCTATAGAACCGTGTCTGTCCTATTTACCCATAGCTGGGGAGGGGGGGAGAGGATTCATACCTTTCCCCAAGGGTATTAGCACAGAATTCGAACTCGGCTTTCCGATTCCTCAATCCGAGTCGCATCCATTACTCCCCCACCCCACCCCCGGTGCCTCCTGATGATGTGAGTAACGAAGTTTTAGAGAAAATGAAAAAAAAAAAAAAAGAAAGAAAAAAGGGAAATGAAAAATTATGTTTAACTTCAGTTGATGTTTCGGATGCACATAAAGAGGAAAGAGGGCTTGGAAAATCTGATACTCACGGGACATATAGATGGTAGTGAAGAAAAGCGAGAAGAAAGGATTAAACATCAACTGCAAGAAGATAGAATGCATGGTTGTTAGCTAAAGGATAGGCCCAAAGTGTGAATTGCAAGCGGTGATACCCAAAATCAAACAAGTGCGGAAATATCTGGGAAGTGTGATACTGTAATCCGAAGGTGTAATGTGGTAGCCAGGGAAGTATTCCAAAAGCTAAGAAATAGAAAAAAATCGCAAGAAAAGAGTAATGAATTGCTATGTAATATATATCCTTCTGTATGGCAGTGAGTACTGGACAATCCTTTCAAAAGATGAAGAGGAGAATTTAAGGAATAGAAAAGTCGTTCTATAGAAAAATGTTGGTGATACCATGGACCGATAACGTAAAGTAACGACGAAGTTTTAGAGAAAATAGAACAAAGAAGGAAACATTTAACATCAGATGACGTTTCTGGTGCACATAATGAGGAAGGAGAGCTTGGAAAATCTGATACTCACGGGACATATAGAAGGCAAGAGGGACCAAGGAAAACAACGCATAACATATTTAGAGAGCTTGAACAAATGAAGGGCGGTACAGGTGTTAGGAGAAATAAAGAAAAAGTTTATTAAGAGCTATGAGGAGATGAAGATTTCGTACATTTAAGTTTATTGTTTAATAGCTTAAAAGCTAGCTCCTGTGACTGGCTAACTGGTCCTCCGGCCCAAAACTGAAGGCTCCTCTAGTCCAGCTTAGTAAACAGCAATGATAATTTGGAAGAAATAACTTTGCTCAATTCACTCTATGGAACTTCAAAACCTCACTTTAGCTCTAATTCGAGCTATAAGTTCAATTCCGGTCGAAAGTCCTATTTGGGACGAAATTCCACTTCAGGTCGAGAATTGAGTTCTTCAAATCCAAAACCCCATGGAATTTCAACTGAGTTAAGTTCTTTAAATCACAAACTGCTGAACTTCAAACCTTCACGTCACGAAACCTCTCACTTTAACTCTGATTACTTGGCATTTTAAAGAAATAAAATTGATTTCCTCAATTCACAAAGTTTTCGTGATATTTAAAACTAAATTTAAAACAAAAATTTATTAGATTGGGATCACAGTGTAGTATCTGTTCTCCTCGTCTCTAGTTGTAATAGTAATGTTAGCCGTTTATTTCTTGGCCCGAGTTAGAGGGATTTAAGACATACGGACGGACTGACAGAATCAACCATTTCTTTATTTAGATTGCAGTTTTAGAATTATCATTATGGAAATAATTCCAGTCCAGTTTCTTTTTCTTTCTATTCTTATTTATATCTACCTCCCTTTCCTTTCTTCTTTTTTCTTTTTTTTCCTTTTCCTTCCCTCATCCCATCATATTTCTTTCTGTTTTCTTTCTTTTTTTTCTCTTCTCGCTTCAATTCATTCAACTTTTCTTATTCTTTTTTCTCGTTCCGTTTCTCATTTTACTCTCTTCTCTTCTGTTTTTTTTTCTCTTTCCATTGTGTTTCTGTTTTTCTCTTTTCCCTTTTTCTCCTTTTCCTTCCACCCCCACCTCCTTTTTTCTTTATCTTTCTTTTTCTTTACTAGATTTGTTTATCTTCTAGTATTCTTTCCTTCTGTTTAGTCATCATTTTCTTCTTTCTTTTTTAGTTGGTTGATTACTTGTGTTTTTTTTCTTCTTCTTTTTATTCCCCTGGGAGGCTCATCGCTAACGTCCCATAATTTCCGTAGTCTCCATGGTCACTATTCTAACTACCTAAGCTAACTCAACCTGACCCGACCTGACCCGACATGACATGATATGACCTGATATGACCTGACCTGATATAGAATGATTCACTGGTGTTATTTCATTCCTTGGTGATGACCTATAACCAACCATTGTTGTTTGTATTAATCATACAACAAAGAACAAGATCACTAACAATAATATAAAAAAATAACAACCGACCAACAGAAATAGGATCAGATAATAATAAGCTTTTGCAAATCAAGGACATTAATTCAGTTCTCCAAATCTCACCAAGGCCTCATTCATCATGTCACGATTACGGTCCAAGTCCAATCGCCCCAAGAACTAACCATCTTCCAGCAGACACGCGCAGGAAATATACAGCCCTTTCAAAAACCATTGCACAACCTTCACCTTGCAGATCATATGTACGGGAATGGTGCTGAAAAATTCTCGCCTCGACCCACTTCCCAAAATCTGACCAAACTTGGCAGAATTTTAGGTGGGAATCCCTTCTTGCTCGAACCGAGAAATTTCAGCACATCCCATATGTAGTTAAACCAGCAGTTAGTTGATCAAACTAGTTGGGCTGAAGTGGTAAATAATGGAAAAGTAGTACTGCATTAAACTCACCTATTGAATGATTACCCACAGATCCATTATTGGTCAGTTTTGGTAACGCTTCAAATACTTCTCAGGAATAATGTTTGTCAGAAAATATTAAAGACAATTTTTCCCCCCGAATATATTGCCTCTAATAACGTTTATGATTTTGTTAAGGATGTACACTATTCTCTATTATTTAATGGTTAAGATGCTCAGCAGACTAGTTTTGATAAAATTATAGTGAAAATAATATTTAACCATAAAGAACTTTATACAATGATGTTGTGTATATAGTTGGATTGGAAATGTGTTCTTCACTACGGTGATATTTCCATTATTTACATTATTCTTACTATTGTCCTCATCTTTGTCGCCATATTTATCACAACGTTTCGGCCGATGTACGCTTCGGCCTTCTTCAGCTGGTTGGAATGTCGAACTGAACCCTTTATTTCGCTCACTGGGGGTAGACTGTTCTAGTTCCACGTGTCATGTTTAATGGATGTCAGTTATCAGTTATCTCCTGTTAATTTCCCTCTGAAACTTCTCCACTGCCTTAACCGGGTATTGAACTCACACTCTTTGGGTCCTGTCACTGGATCTACTGAGCCACGTGTCCAGGACACATGGCACAGTGGATAAAGGCGTTGGTTAGATCCTCTTGGAAGTTGGTTCCACGAAGCAGTAGTTCACGGGAAGAAGCTGTTCTCACCGATGGAATACGGAGAGAATGTAGATGATTTGATACTATGTAAGTGGCATGGCGTGTCCTTGTCGTGCAGGTTAGAATTGGTGGGACCAGGGAATGCAGTCCAAGCACTTTCCGTGGAAGGAAGGAGCAATAGAGCAGTGAGAGGTTTGCTACATCCCCCACCTGTGAGAGTGAAATTGGAGGGCCAAGACGCTTTTTGGACTCTATCAAGACTAGAGAGTGAGGTATGGGCAGCTCTCGCCTAACTATGACAACTGTACTCCACTGTACTTTGGCTTGATCTGAGTCTTGTAAAGGTAAGGGATAGCATGAGGATTCAGGTACTTACTGGAGTGGTACAAGGATCTGACCATTTTACCTACATCCTTAACAATGGGTCGTTTGTTCGAGTTCCACTTGAGGTCATGTGTAAGTTTGAGACCCAAGAGACTTTCAAGGGTCGGTGCCTCCCTGAGGTGATATCCGTTCATCGTGACTAAAACGCTCTTGGTTCGTTCGTCTTAATTCTGTAGATATATTCCTCAAAGCTCTAGATACGCTCTACATACGTTCCCCAAAAAGCTGTAAATACATTCCTCAAAATGCAGTACTAAAAACCGTATTTGGATGTCTCATATTAATATGAAATAGATACGTTCACACTGGTTAGTTACGGACAGAAGTGAGAGGTGGTAGACATCTTCAAATAACTGCGAGGTAAAAACATATGCGAACCTGTGGGTAAAGAGCAAATTTTGCTAGAAATCTTTGTGAATCTGGCAGTCATTCTGTGATTAAATCATAGTTTTAGTATGTCAGTGCCACCCCAGAGAATATATTGTTTCAGCAATCATTTTAAAAGATATAATGTTGATGTTGAGTTTCAAGAAGATGAAATACATTAGTGCTGTGTATCTAATCATATTTTTTGAGCTGGTGAAATGTATATTACAAGGTATCAATGTATGTCGCTACATCGTCAATTACTGCGTATGTATTTATCCTTATACACATATCACACTAGCGAAAGTATACAGTATACAGTTTTTTTCTTAGACATTCGCTGGTGCTGCGTTTTTATCGTCATTTTCGAAATGAGATATAACTGAACTGAATATTAAAAATAGACCCTGACAGCGAATGTGCGCTGAAAGAGATAATGCTAAGCATGCGTATTATAGTACTTTATCTACATAATAGATATATGACATTTTTTACAAAAAGCATTTAAAATTAAAGAAGGAATAAGAAAAGTGGTAATGGTGTCACCGTTTGTCCCAATATTTTTTCTAACATGCGTTCTTTCTATTTTCTATAATCCGTATAAACACAAAGCAACTGACAACGTCGGTTTCATTTAAAGAATCTGGGTGGCAACAAAGAGAAAATATCGTTCAGTTTAGCGAGGCTGTAATGACAACCTCTGCCACTATTATCGCTATCTTTATTCTCATTAAATCCATTTCCATTTGCATGCTCACGCAAGGCGAAGCATCCCTTGTTAACGTTCATCTATTTCACTAACCTTGAACAAGTTATTTTTTTTGTAGTGGGGTTGATTTCCCAGCATGCATTGTTTTGCTGATTACGCTTTTCTTTGCTAAAACATAACATCGCCGTCAAAAAATTTCGTACAGCAAAAGTTTCTTGTTATAGTGGCTCGTATGTCCTGTATTAATTCTACGGCTGAAGTTCTAATTCTACGATGTTGAGTTTTTCGATAATCACAAGCAATATATATATATATATATATATATATATATATATATATATAAATTATGTCTTTGATAAAAACAAGACTCGATAATGGGCTAATCAGGAAATGATAGAGGTGCTGCTTAGTAGTAATTTAACCCTCTGATGACAAAACGCCATATCGTATTTAGAAATAGAATTGGATATGTGAGAAATTGGAATGGGTCATGTATGGACTCCAGTAAACTAAACACTCAAAATCAATCGAATTACAATTTAATTTATTGAACTGTTTAATACAGTCGGTGAAGTAATGGATAGCTGCTTGAGGAATCGGAGAGCCGAATTCGAATTCCAGTCGTATCCATTAAATTCACTTACGTGCCAAAATAAAAGGAAAGGTATGAATCCTCTTCTTCTCCCACCAGCTATGTGTAAATGGCAGTACAGATGGGTTATATAGACCTAGATGGCAATTGATCTAACGCAGAAATGGCAACCTACTGCGAGAAAGAAACATGATCGCCTACGCGTGTATCCCGCATGGCACATAACTGACTGATGCAATGGTAAAATGAAGAGTGTTGAGGAATTCGTTTGGGTCCTGAACAGAATCTGAAGAACTCGGTACTGTATCAATTGATTTGTTTAGGTTGTAGGAATCTTTCTGCTCGGGTTTTTGCTTAATGTCAAAATTCGGAATGCCGGGATTCGATATAACAACATACAATACAATCTTAGAAAATCACTATATTAAATTAATGTTTGTTTGGTGATATGTTGTCTTTTTCTACTGGATTTTATTCTTTCAATGAAAATCGTGGGATTATTTTAAACGGCTAAATTAGAAACAATCCCACAACAACATACGATGCAATATTGTTGTGGGACAGTTTCTAATTTGGCTGTTTAAAATAACAAATTTAACCGATGAAGTCCTTAAGAAAGAATTTTTTTTTCAATTTTATCATTATTTTTTCTCATATACAAGTTACGATGCGTAAATTGTAGCCATTTTATATCTCTAATTTCGTGCATTCTTTGTTTTTTATTTGTCGACTGCACAGTATAGTAGGGTCAGTTGGGCACCGTCTGTGACAACCATGGCACAAATCACTCTTCCAGAAACTTAGAATTCGGCATGATGTACTGCTTGGCATTCTCGGCGGAAGCTCCAAAACGAACATTTCAGTGTGTATGGGTGTCAATCCGAGCATAATGAAGAGAATTCAGAAAGAGTTGGATGAGTCTAATGGTGATTAAGAAGGTGTTTGGAATGGTCAATACAGGGCCTCAGACTCAACACTGAGACTTATATCAAGTGCCTTGAGGAGGGTGTGCTGCTCTGGGTCAGGTCAAGAGGGTGACTGCTGGAAGATCTTATGTTTGACAACAGGACGCCGCACTATGCCACACACGTAGGAGAACTCAGTCATGGCTGTTAGCAATTGTCTGCGACCACGTCACTTCTTATATCCGGCCACCTAACTCCCCAGACTGCAACGCCATTGATTATTATATATGGGGCGCAGTTGAGCGAGAGACCTACAAAAGTCCTTGTAGCACCAAACATGATCTGAAGGCATGGATTATGTCAGCATTCATTAACTTAAACGAGGAGACCGTCCAGAAGAGATGCAGGAGATTCTGAAGTCGTCTGAAGGCCGTGGTTGAAGCCAATGGCAATTTTATTGAATAAATGTTCAACCATTTTTATTTTATGTGCCGTGTCGCTTTAGGGCGTAAGACGACCATGGACTTTGTTGCTCTTAATATGTTTGTCTTTTTCTTATTTCTTTGCTCAAGTCCATCAAGTATGTCACTCGCTGCTTTCCTATGTCTCGCTTCCTCTCTGTCATGTTAGTATAAGATTTTCAAAGCCTATTTTCCTCATTATGTACCCTATAAATTTCAACTGTCTCTTCCTAATGTTACGTATACGTTTTCTTTTTGTTTTCATTTTCTCTAAAATTTAGTCGTTGCCCACGTCTTCGGTCCACAATATCCTCAGCATCCTTCTGTAGGACAGCATTTCTGATGTTTCAAGTCTCCTCTTCATCTTTGAAGAGACTCTTTAGCATTCGCTGCCATGCAAGAGAGCAGATTTCACGTGACACTGCTATGTTTCCAACGAAATTTTCCTGTCTCCTAATATTCTGCTTAGGTTTTGAAATACATCTTTGGCCACCCAAATACGTCCAATACCCACTCAAAGTAGAGGGTTACTGAAGGAGGTTGCTGTAAGAGTTGGAAGTAAGACGTGCAATTTATGAAAATATCTGGGAAAGATAACGGTTACACCTAGAAGTGATGAGGTGAACATTCTATTAGTCGGGAAAGCTTCAAATCGGGAGTTTGTTCCAAAAAGCAAGGCATTTTACACACACACACACACACACACACACACACACACACACACACACACACACACACACACACACATATATATATATATATATATATATATATATATATATATATATATATATATATATACTAGCAGTACGCCCGGCGTTGCCCGGGGATGTAACAGTAAGAGATAGATCAAGTATCGACTATCATAAAGACTGAAAAATAAAATTGACAAGGATTATTGTTTAAGGCTGACGGACAGGTATGTCTTAATTAGTTTTTTTTTTGTTTTTTTTTTATGAATTTGTCAAACCCAAACTCAAACAAAAACATTGTTTTCAATCGTTATGTGTCTACCGATTGAATAGAATTTTATTATAAACAATTGTCTTGTAAATGGAATTTTTAAAGCATTCTGAATGTAAAAATAAAGAAAAAAGTGTGCAAGACAATAAGAAACACTACCTACCAAAACAAAAGTTAAGTTTTCTTGAAATCGGTTGAAAAATGTAGGAAATCCGATCCCATATATAAACGAACACACACACACACACACACACACACACACACACACACACACACACACACACAAACAACCTGGGTTTTATAATAAGTATAACTCGATATGAGTTGTCCCTCTTTCATTCTCGCGATGACTCTTAATCGTGTTTTCAAATTGACTTCGTGCAAAAACAATTGTGTTTTTCCAATTTTTGGCACTGTCAGAACCACCGCAAGGTAATTTTACGTAGCCCTGTGAAGTTTTGTTGAAATCGGTTGAAAAATGTAGGAAATCCGATCCAATATATAAACGAACACACACACACACACACACACACAACCTGGGTTTTATAATAAGTATGATATATATATATATATATATACATATATATATATATATATATATATATATTTTGGTTGGATAGATGTGAGTTTGTGACCCTGGGTTTCACGCTTTAGCGCTTTCTAATAAGTACCGCGTATATAATATATAAATAATTATACATATTTATATTTATTTATATTTATATACACTTTTCACACACACACACACACACACACACACACACACACACACACACACACACGCACACACACACGCACACACACATATATATATATATATATATAAAGACAGATTTCGTTAAATAATTTACTTATTCACGATAGGATCCTTTTACAGATAAGCTTTTTGTGTGGTTATTGAATGACGAGATAAAAACGCCGTGCTGATTCATATTGTATTTATTCTTCGAGTACTTTCGACATAGCATAATGTCATCATCAGAGTATTGTTAATTATAGGATAAGTATTGTAGTGTTCATGGCCAAAAATTCGGGAAAATCCTTGTCGAAATACCTCCATACTTTACCACGAAAAGAATAAACTCAAATTAAAATTCTTTAAGCTATTTATATCAAAAACCGAAACCAAACCTTAATAAAATTAATTATGAATATTCCACAAACATTTTAAAATGTGTACAATAGATAGTTTCTAAATGTTAATGGTCGTACTAATAGTTCTTTCCTTTTTTTTTTCGACTACTCATGTCGGAAATTCTTTCCAAAACATAACTAGTTATCTCCCCTTAAACGGTGCCTGTTAGCCACGCAATGACACAGCGTTCCTGACACCGTATATAAGAAAGTTAATTTTCATATTATCACAAAAATATTTGTCTTATTGTTAAAATTATACTTCAATAGTGCTATAAAAACCTTGGAGAATTCCAGTAAGGTATCTGTAATGATTTGTAAGATACAACGGTGCAAAGTTTAATCTAACAAATGGACAATTTTGTTGTTACACGATTTGGACAATTTTGCTGCTACACCTGGTATATATATAGAGAGAGAATAAATAAACTCATGCGAGCATACAGATACACGCATCTATCTATCTATCCATTTCTCTCTCTCTCTCTTTCCCATATATATATATATATATATATATATATATATATATATAAAGTGTGAATGCTTTTAAACACCCGCAGAATACATTTCGGTCTATTAAATTGATTATATATATATATATATATATATATATATATATTGATTATATATATATATATATTGATTATATATCTGTGTGTGTGTGTGTGTGTGTGTGTGTGTGTGTGTGTGTGTAAAGTGTGAATGCATTTAAACACCCACATAATACATTTCGGTCTATAAAATTGATTCCAGACTTAAAGCGAACTGACTTCCAATAAGCCAGATTCGGGCAAACCGGTTTCGTCTGCCATATTGTTAAAGATTTTTCTTTTCCCTTATATATGCAAGCATCAGAAATTGGATCTTAATCAGCCTTAATTCTTCAGTATTATCTTACAATGACTGTATCCATTAAGATATGTCAATACCAGTAATTTAGAAGCTTGGCCCGAATTGGTGTTTGCGTAAACTTTGATATCATGTATGGCTCGCCAGCTGCCTTTAATGTTAGGGAATCGCTCTGTTCTCATTTATTGTACATCTGCCGAGCTGATGGAAATCGTTGATGGCATCCCATAATGGATCTGATGACAATAACCGTATCTAAATGTAGAAGAAAAAACAAATGACGAAGCGCACAAACAAACTTGCATATTTAAACTAATTCGCTCGTATTAGACAAATTCAGAACGGAGCCACAGACAAAATGCTTCGGTTGCGAAGACATTCAGAAGGTCATGAATTATTTCGTGGCTGAATGATAAACAAAAGTAAAAAGCGATCAGTGGTTATGTAATATCAGTTCTCTTTTATGGCAGATAATTTCCTCTCAGGTGAAGAGAAGACCTAGAGACCACGATGATGTGGTTCTACAAAGAATAACATGGACGGAACATCTGAGCAACGAGGAGGTTTTAAGGAAAATCGTATCAAAAAAGAGACTTGTTCATAGAATCAGACCGGGACAGTTGAAATTTCTGGAAGACATTATGTGGAAAGAAGGCTTGGAGAATTTGAAACTCACAGCACATATTGACGACAACAGGGGCAGAGAAAAACAACATGCCACCTACCTAAGAGTAAAATTTTAATTCAACAATGACGAGAAATTTATTTAATCAGATACTTGTAAATTATGTGAAAAACTTGTAATCAGATACTTGTAAATTATGTAAAAATCGATCATATGAATAACACGTTCTGTCTTTATCTGCGCAAAGGTCTGATAAAAGGTAAATAATATGTTGTTTTTCTTAAATAAAGTTTCACTCAAAACAACGCTCAAGAAGCACCCGAAGTAGAGTGTTACTGAACATAAGCAGAAGTAGAATAAAGTGAAAATATGAGAATCAGCAGGATAGATTGATCCTTGACTTGAAGAAGTTAAGATTGTAATGTTCATCGAAGTATCGACACGGGAGTTTGCTCCACATAGTAGCAGTTCTTTGGGAAAAGCTATCTTAGTGAAGTTTCCCCCTTTAAATGGAATACAGGGAGATTGTGAATGATTCAACTCCGTGGACATAGCATAGCCAGCTCTAGCTGTCTGAACTGGTAGAACTAAATAGTGGGGCTCATCTGAACCTTTTTTTCCGTGAGAACGACGATCGAGTAGCGATAAGCTTGCAACGCTGTATCTGCGGAAAAGAGACTTTATAGGAGAAATAAGTGTTCGATTTTTACCGCTATCAGGGCTGGGTAATGAGGATTTGGCAGTTCCAGTCAAAACAGGGAGAAATGCTCCATTTTTGGTCTAACCTGATGTCAGTACTGAAGCATTTATGTTAGTAGTTATTTCACGGAATAACATTATATGATTCTATTTGAAAATGTCCTGAGAACTGAGGAGAAGGCACGGTGGAGTAATGGATAGCGGCTCGGATTGAGGAATCAGAGAGCCGAGTTCGAATTCCAATCGAATCCATTGCATTCATTTACGTGCTAATACCCTTGATTTTCTTCTCCCCCAGCTATGGGTAAATAGTCTGGGTTCTATAGCCTGGGATGGCAAAGAAATGGCAACCTACTGTCTCGTCAGTCATGTATCGCCTACGCGTGTATCACGCATGGCACATAACTAACTGACTGAGAACTCTCCTGCTTCCGATAGAAAAATTCAGTAACTGTTGGTATCTTAAGATGCTGTTATGGGACCAGTCGTTGCAGAGGACCAATCATAGAAATTGTACCATAAATCGTCTGCAAATATAGCCAAATCGAGCATGATGCTGGTAATTCTCGAAGACTGTTTTGATGTTTTGTTTCCCGAGGAATATTTGCCAGTGATTCCAATATCTTTTATTGTTTCTCAATCTCCAGTAAACGAAGGAAAGTAATATAACTTTCCGCCTCTTTCGTTATAGGCCCGCGTCTTTGCAAAATCTTGCATTCGCGTTGGAGCTTCCATATCACCAGCAACGCTTTCTACCACCGCCTTCTCTTGTATGTCGATTGTTCTTCCTTCCTACTTCGAATTACTTCCGCGACCAATCGAAGCCTATCTCATTGCTTTCAAAATGCTTCAAGGCAGAGTTCAATCCTGTGGTGCTATCTTCAATTCGATTCTCAACAGCTCCCCTTCAGATACAATGCCACACCCACTGCCACAATTGTATGTTTTATTCTCTAGTCTTCTTGATACCGTCCATTCTCATTGTTGCATATTTGTCATCTGTCAGAAGTCGGTGGCTCATTTAGCAAATCTTATGAGTCTGCACGCTTTCTCTGACGATAGCTAGGAGCAGCGTTCGAAAACTGATTCTTCTTTATGTATTGGCTGGAGTACCATTCTCTTCAGATTCTGGATCTTTGAGTGTCAATAATTATCCAAACATGAATGTTTGGAATTTTTCTTTGATTTTTTTTTCTTTTCTTGCCCATAGTGATTTTCTTCGCTACGTTTATGATTATCCGTTTATTTCGGACATGTCTTTCAAAGGGACCTGTTTTTATATTTTTCCCGACAAAATGAACACATAAGAAGACACTGTTCGTACAAAGAAAACAATGTCACAAAAGAAAACGCTTGAAGTTTAGTTGCTCGCGCGAAAAAGGTCCACAGAATACTGGAACAAAATTGGTGACGATTCTACAGAATAGACCATTCTATGAGAATGAAGTCATTGGATAAGTAAGATGAAGAGAGCGAAATAAGTCAGCTTTCCTGGAAACAAACATATTTTAATCATTTCATAAAACCATTAAGATGCAAGAGGTTATTGAGAGAATATCAGAAAAAACACTATTAACGAAAGGAAAAAATACAAGAACAAGAATTAAGAAGATTGAAAATAAAGAGTGACACTGCATTTGATTTTTAAAGATCGAAGTTGACTGGGAAGCAAGAAGTCGGAAGTCATTTCCACAAGGAACAGAGCGATAGGAGTATCTGCTAACATAGGACTTACGGTTGCATCTCGTCATTTCTACTGTAAAATGATGAGAACTGGGCATCATCCTCGTACTGCGCCTTTATTTCATGAAGTCTTGGTACCATAGATGAAAGTTTATCAGGACAATTACAATTAAAGTATTTATAAAAAAAAGGCACATGTGATCTACGTTATGACGGGTGGAAAGTGACTGAAGCCGAGATGCCAGGTCAGGAACAATAACATTGCATATTATTTTTGTATTTTATCAATAATAATACATAGCAGAAGCACTGGACCAGATTGTGCATCACTGTTTAAAGCATAGACGAATGGTAGACTCATAAATATATAAGATAACTTCAGATGAGAAAAATTGTCTAGCACGACAAAGTGAACCAGTATTACTAGCAGGAGACCTAGCAATGGATTCAATATAAACTTTCCACTTCATGTCAGCAGAAAATGTTAGCCTGAGAATACACAATAAGTAACTCTCCTAGAGGTTAGAATCAGGCATGCTGATGAAAGGTAAAAAGAATTCTCTTAGAGACGATTAAAAAAGAACACTTTCGATTCGGATGCGTTCATATTAACAAGCCATTACTTGCTCCATTTACCAACAGATTATAAGTATTTTTAGGTCAGCAACCAATTTAACCATATCAGACTGATCAGACTTACGAGTAAGAAAGGAGAAAATAGTTGTGTCATCAGCATAGATACTAAGTTGAGAACTGATGGCATCAAGAAAGTCGTTGATGAAAATTAGAACAACGTAGGTGCAAGGATAGAGCCCTGGGAGTACCTGCATTCATGCATAAAGATCTCGAAGAGTGGCCGTTCAAGACCACTTTCATTCCACGATTTGATAAGAAAGATTGAATCAGTTCAAATTTCGTCAAGAAATACCATAAGCTTTCAACTAAGGAAGAATACCAGCATGCAAAACCCTATGAAATGTTTTCGAGATATTCAAAGAAATAGTCCGAACTTCACCATTCTCATCTAAAATTTGACTCTTTTAGCAATAATCAGCAGTTGAACTAGAGAAGTGAAAGCCAAATTGCTTAGCTGAAAGAAAACTGCGAGGTCAGATGCTTAACCAATTCAGAGTTTATTAGAGCCTCTAGTACTTTGGCAAAGATTCAGTTCTAAGTGGAAAGTCAAGTAAAGATACCCCAGATGAGTCAAGAGTAGAATTTGAAGAGAATTTATGAGTAAAACATTATGCTTTATCAGCAGAATATGTGTAGAACTGAGAGATAGAAGACTTACTCTTATTTAACACACTATTACAGAGCCACTAATAGTCACGACGACGATCAAACTTAGAAGTTGTAAGGTGATTCATTCTATCAGCAAACAAAGACTTCGACTCTTAGACAATTTACAATCAGGCACAAAGAGGTATCTGTTGTGATCGAAACTATCATAATTGTACAGCCGGAAAAAGTGATTCCTGTAGGCTATAGCGACTGAAAAGGCTGATGTGAACTGTAGAGAATATGGCGGTTTTACCTAGTGTTTCTGAGAAGGCACAAAAGCATTAAGCCAAGAATGAATCTCCGTGACACATTTGTCAATAGGAATGTTAAGAATACCAATCCAAGGGGCGTCACGAAAAAAGTTACGAAATAAATCCCAATCAGTACGCTGATAACTGAAAGAAGTTTTGTGAATAGGAGGTTCCTGTCTAATAGACGACTTAAAAGTAATATAATTACTATAGCGTGATTCTAATTGCCAAGAGGATAGTTTTGTGATACTTGACAAAAACCAAGAGAGGAGGTAAAGAACAAATCAAGTAAAGAATCATATTGATCAGATTTATTATAGAAACAAGTAGAGAAATCCACTATTTGACTGAAAGTTTGAGCAACAGAATAAGTGAAAGTCTGAATACCAGCATCATCACTAACATTAGAATGCTTTAGATACATGACGTGATGAGGATTAAAATTACTAAACAGAAAAATGTTCACAGTTAAATGTAGATAGAGGGCCATTTATATATTGTCAGAAATATTGTCTGATATGTTACAGTCCTGGAAAGAAGGAGAGCACTAAAGGAAAGAGAGATAGCTAACAGAGTGCAATACAGTAAATCGAAAGCACATGAAATAATAAACTGGTGACTCGTGAGAAAATTTTCTTGCAATGGAAAGATCTACCTGAATGTAAACCCCAATGACATGCATATGTATCCTAGAATCTTTTTGACAAAGAGGAAGATAGGCAGAAACAGAGAATTCATTAGTAGCGATGGAAGAATTTAAATTAGTTTCGCAAAGTTTAGAGATAACTGGAGAACATTTCAAGAGAAAAGATTCTACCCTACAGTAATTGGTATAAATTCCATGAACATTGGAGAAGAAAAGGTTGTGGCGAGTAGGGGATTTTTTGTTTATTGGTTTACACGTATTTCTTTACAATGTATCTGTCATGAGAAAATTATATTTTAAGAAGAAAAAGGTCAAAATAGTTGTCACTATGTATCGTCTAGGGCAAGTTGGTTAAGACTAAAACATAATGTGGACTCAGGGTTGCCCACCAGAAATACTTGTAGAAACATCTATCCATGCGGGATATGGCACTACAAAGGCCTCCATAATTATGCGACTGTGGTTCAAAGCAGCCTCTCTAAACGCTACCAAAGTTCGTTACTATGAGTCGGGTGCAGCAAACAGAAAACTGCCAACAAGATGCCCTTATAAAAGGAAGGAAACGACTGACCGTCCAAAGAATCCACGGCAGCCGATTTCAATAGGTAACACATGACATGTCCCGATCTCCCAAGCGGTCGGATCGTAGTGGGTTTTCTTTCACTCATACGCCTACTCCCTATTCTCCTCCCATGGAACCGTTAATTCTACTAGGAGGACACACTTCTTTGAATCAGACCACGCTACACTGTCAGGGTGTGCGTCTGTCTGAAAAATGTGTACCG